TCAAAATGTGCAATGACCAAACATTACATCTTCCCAAAACACAGTAATAGTCAGTTCTGCCACACACTTGAACATCTATAGAGTTATGAAAAGAAAAGCATTATCATGTTCTGATGTGTTAAATAATTTTTCTTTGACTCCTTTTTTTTCTTCCTCCTAGTTTTGCTTTTAGGAGGCATTTCTTGCCCTTACCAAGCTTACATTGTAGCCTAACACTGCATTAAGATTACTGGTAATATTTGCCAGTGTAAAATAAGAAATCCACTTTTAGATATTACCAAGAGGAGTATAAAATTTCGTATAGGAGAAAGTAAAAATTCTGTATATTCACTTCAAAAAAAATTCTGGTCTCTGTTCTAAAGCAACATTGCTTAACTCTTTACTAATTTTAAATTACTGGTATGGCCTTTTTTTGCTTTTTCTCTTAATGGACCCTTCTTTGATAAGTATTGGAAGTCTTCTGCTTCTTTTCTTTAGAAAACTTCATCTAGCTAGCTTTTGCAACTCTGTCCTTTGAGAATACCACAGTGTGGAATAAAGAAGCAGGGGTAATGGAGTGGAGATTTAGACAGAAGGAGACAGAGAATTCTTATTGTTCTGTGCTGGTTGAAGTAAATGCTCATTATGCTTGATTTCATTTATTTCCTATCTTACTAGTTAACAAAAAGCTGATTCTTTTCTCCTCAACATTATGGTCATATGAGTAGAGAACAATAATCATCTGTTTTAATATCAACATTTCCCTGGGAGGTTAGAAAGCAGGGAAGTTATGACTTCTGTTTACGAATCCAAATTTAAAGTTAAATTATTAGTTTTTCCTAAAAATTACACTATTACACATTTCTCCACAACAAAGTTCTGGAGAACATAATCCCTTTAGCACCATTGCCATACTTCAAAACTGACTTCTGGAAATAGGTTCTAATTGCAAAACATAAAGGACTACCACATTTAGAATCGGAAGATACATAGGGAATAAGAGTGATTCTCTGCACCTGAATCTGGAATTAACACATAGCACCTTATTTTCCACCTACCACTAAATAGGCTTCACAGGGAGTAAGATACGTCTTACTAGATATGTATGTATGTCATGGGGAGGGAAAACACAGAGATGGGGAAAGCTGAACCCCAGTTTCAGCTCTGTGACAAACTCAATGGATGACTTTTTTTTCCCCACCACAAAAAGTGCAGTCGCCACCTGTAACCATAAGTTACTGCAATGTTACTATGTATTCCCTATGCTATACTTCTCACTCAGTGGATGACAAGCAAGCTACCACTTCCCTTTATGCCTCAGTTTTCTCGACCACAAAATAAGAGTACTCCTAACTTCAGTTATGTTTGTATAACATGGCTGCATATGAAAATGTCCTGGATAGCACACAAAAAGGAAATGTTTACCGTAAGTAGCACTTAAAAATGTGTCTCATTGTTTTAAAACAACAACAACAACGTTCAGCTGGGTTAACCTTAAGTAAATTTTTTTCCTCTTTAATATAATGAACACTCTTTAGCACTAGCATTATCTGTTGATGACTGTGGCTCATTTGCTTCTGGTCATCCTCTTTAACAATGCCTTATGATTTAAGTCTATTACCTGTCTGAATGCTCCAAGTAAACACTGATTTGGGGAGTTGTAAGTAACTTGGAGATAGAGACTAAATCAATTCAGCCTATCTTTGTCTGTCATGTTTTTATTTCTTTGCTTTAAGTGACTCTATCATTACAATCCTCCAACTGGCATTTTAAGTCGCTAAATGAAAAAAAAAAAAAGAAAACTATCAATCTTTTCATTTTTAACCTGACTTAAAAGAAAAAGAAAAAAAAAAGGAAGCCCTGAATTTATGTGTGGTATATATGTATTTATGTATGTATATATGTATGTATGTATCTGTATGAATCTGAGTCTTTCATTATTATTGTTATACAAAATCACAGCCTTCTCTTGCATAAAGCAGGAGAACTTGGATTCTGTTTGAGAGCATATGAAGAGAATTTCCTTTCCTTTGTCCACAGAGTTAATTTCCTACTATAATCTTATAAAAATGGATGGTTTCTTGCAAAAAATATCACAGAAAAGCATAGGTAGAAAGACCTAGAGTGATGGATTATTTTGTTCAGAGGTTCTTAAACTGGGGTCCTTGCTGTTGGAGGTTATTTGTAATTACACTGTATGTAGTATTGTGTATTAATGTCATAATATTCACTTTTTTAAAAAAGTTTATTTATTTTGAGAAGGTGAGAGAGCACGAGCAGGGGAGGGGCAGAGAGAGAGAGAATCCCAAGACAGAGAGTCAGTGCAGAGCCTGAGGTGAGTCCAGAATTCACCAACTATGAGATCATGACTTGAGCTGAAACCAAGAGTCTGTCGTTCAACCAACTGAGCCACCCAGGAGCCCCTCCCCCCATATTTACTTTTAATCAGGTTTCCAAAGAGATATATTACCCAGGTATGATTGATAACTACTAATCTAGTTTAAATGAAAAATTTTAATCCCAGAGTGGGAGCAACTTGTTATATTCACACCACTAGCCAATGACATCCAAGGCCATAGAACTCAAAACCCCTCGGGAAGGCCTGGGTGGCGCAGTCGGTTAACTGGCTCTTGGTTTCAGCTCAGGTCATGATCTCGTGGTTTGTGGGTTTGAGTCCCACATCAGGCTCCACACTAACAGTGCAGATCCTGCTTGGGATTCTCTTTATCCCTCTCTGCCCCTTCTCCTGCTCACGCTCTCTCTCTCTCCCTCTCAAAACATAAAATAAAATAAAATAAAATAAAATAAAATAAAATAAAATAAAATAAATAAACTTAAAAAAAAAAAAAAAACCAAAAACTCAAACCCCTAAGGCTGCTCATGCATGCTAACATGCATGCAAATAGACTGTTTCTTCAACTTGCATCATCTTGCAAAAAAACTGTCTGTTTGTTGCAAAGGGCGAGGTTATAGACATCTCAAAGATTCCATTTCAATTTTAACATTTATTGCCACCAAAATGACCATATGACAAAGATCTGTATGACAAGAAGTAGCCCCAGAGCAAAAAATCCCTCAAAAAACAAAACTCTCTTCTACATGTGTGATGAAAACCTAATTTATTACTACCTACAGAAGCAAAGATTAGCTGTGTTTAACACTTCATGTTTGAACATCAGCTAGAATTTAAAAGAGACAGGATGTTCATCTAGAATAGTAGACCTACCAAGAAAGATGTTTCTTTTTTTGAAAAATCTTCTACCTGTTTTACAGAAATTAGGTGTATTAATACAATCATATAAATAAACTATGATCAGTAAAGAATCAGCATTGCACATCAAGCCTGTACTAACTCACAGTTCTTTTTCCTACTTCTGTTATGTGTGTTTATGAAAATTCTTTTTAGTTTAGCAGGTATTGCCAAGATGTATTGGTTATCAAATATGCCTTCAGAGCTAAATCTGCAGGAATATTGCACATTTCCCATATCCTTTTCTGATTATCCTTCCACAGAAGGAAGAAGAAAAAATTCCAAGGGAAGGAAGAAATATCTATAAGTAATATGTTTATGGGCATTCAATGCTAGATGTTTTAACATGCTTGATTGCTATCAGTGAATCAGAGCAAAAAGTAACAGTAGCATTTATCATGTTCTATTATACCATGCAATATTTTAACAGACAAGTCATTCTGCTTATTTCAGCTATATTCAATAGCAATTGATAGATGTCTACACAACAAAATCACTAAACTGCAAAAATGCCTTAATTCTTAAAGTAGGGAAGACGACTTTTCCTCTGAGCCAAGAATGAAATGGCCAGCAAGCCTAAATTGATAGGATCATGCAGTGTAGTCCCAACAGTGACTTGAAATTCAATAATTAGATTCTATCAAGACTCAGAATACCAGATGGTGCAACAAATAATATTCTTGATTCTGAACCTAAATACTAATGAAGTATTTCTTCTTGTGTAGAAAGTAAAGTACATGTTCTTTTGTTCAGGAATGGCACTGTACTTTCATTGTCTCCAGTATAAACCAATGTGTGGCAAAAGAGAGATGTCTTCTATCTTGGTGACCACTGAGAGACACAATGCTCTTTGGTCTCAAAGTGCAAATTAAAGTACCTTAACAGGCTAAAAATAAGACAATCTATTCTGGGGGGGGGGGGGGGGGGGGGAGGGAGTAAATAAAAATAATAGAGGCCAAAATGCTGAAAAAGGAAAGTCTATATATTTCTTTATAATTTAGAGTAATGATATTTTCCTCATTACTATGCAACAGTAATAGATTAAGTAAATTGTGGATGGAAAGGGCCTATTAAATCACTGTCTCTAATGCATGCAAAGGAGGGAAGATTTCCTTATAGACAGGAAAAAAGAAGAAAGAAAAATGTAAAAATAGACACTATATCAACATTTATAAAAGTTCATTTAGCATAAAGTCTACAGACATCAAACAGAGGTATTAGCATCAGTAGTGAGGAAGATTAGATACAAAGTACCCGTATTAATAGAGTCCTGTGTTATATCTTCAAACATCTAATATATTTGCCTGAAGCTTTTCAAAATCAAAGCTACTCTTGTTTATACTCACGTAGAAAATGTAATCTGAGTTTCAATGAATTTTTAATTTTGTTCAATGTTGCATTTGTTCAACCAAAAACAATTTAAACAGGACCAAGGCTATCAGCGTCACAGTGAGCAAGCACAGCTCCTCACTAGGGAGTTCTTGAATCTGCCATAAAAATCAACAGTGTGCATCTAATAGTTTTCTTTTAATCTGAGCATTGAAAAGTGAATCATCACATCAACTATTCTTCAGGGCCTCTTTGGTTTCCAGATTAAACATGTAATGTGACCTGTCATCTTGCCTCATTCTCTGTATTTCCATTTTAAATAATCATAAATAAGAAAACCTTGCTACTCTTTGGTATGACACAGCTGGTTGATTCAGCTGAGTTTCAGTCTTAGAAATTGCACTCATTCCTTGTTCAGAGTCCTGGTTCATCTCAAAGGTTTTCAGCTGAAAGATTCTTTATTGTATTCAAATCTTGTCCCATATGAATTGTTTCGGTTACTCAGTTTATGAAGGGTCTTAGAAATTGAACTGGGTCCACAGCAGAAAACACCAACTGTTTTCCTGGTAAGACAGAGGAGAAAATGGAAAATCAGGTGAAAAATTAGGCAGAACATAACAAGAAGTATGTGTTACAAACATGTTTAAGGTATTAACAAAATCCATTTATTGCTGCTTTGCATACTGAGTTAATTAATTTCTCAATTATTTCCAAATGTAAGTGATCACCATGAAGATACATTATTTACTTCATGCTATTCCCACTAGAAATCAGGATAGCTCAAAGAATGCAACTACAAGCACATATTTGCTTATTATCAGACAGAAAGTGAGAAGTCTGCCTTTAGCCTTTCCCTTACATGCAGAAACAAAATCAAGAACAGCAAGTGATAGATGTCCGTCCACACTGGATCATGTCAGTCTTCTCTTACTAGATGCTTTATATGCATTTCTCTAAAGAGCCCATGAATTTGCACGGGCAGTGATGATTAAGACAAAGAAAAGCTACTACCAAATTGAAAGGATAATTTTAAGTAACTAATTTATATCCAAGTTGAAACAAAAGCATATTAATCTGTATACAATTCATTTTTTATTTATACACTCTAAGAACTGTAATAAATGCCAAACAGATTTTATTATTTGCTAACATAAAATTTTAGTAGATAAATTATACATATCCCTAACAAATAGACTAAATAAATCCCAGGAAATAACTAGTATTTCACATTGATCTTCTTCCAAAGTTTATTATTTGCACTGAATTCTTCCTGGGATATCAAAATTACTAACAATTCATATCATATCTTAGGCAAATATAGTGTGTCCTCATTAGCTTGGCTGAGAATAATTGGTGCTGGAAAAAAAAAACCTGGTAAATCCACTTAAACGGGTATCAAGATTTTATAATAAATACTTAAACAATGGTTTTACTAAAACATTTCATCTTGAAAAATGAAACAAAGAACTACAAAAATAGAACTTGCACTTGCAGCCATGATGGAGTAGTGGAGACTAGATTTATCCTCATGCATTGAAAAACTAGGGGAAAAACCCCAATATGTGAAGTAACATATTTTCAGATACTTGACAGTAGGTAGAACAGAACAGCGATTCACTAGAAAAAGAGAAAAAAACAAAAAACAAGAAACCAAGATGAGTCCAGCAATTGTCTCTGCTTATTGCCTGGAGGCAATCTACAGGCTGCAAAACAGAGAAATTCATGCTGAGATTGGGACTCTGAGCTGAAGAGACAAAGAATGGAATTCATGGAGGACAAAACAGCTAGAATCTGTGAAGAATGTGGAAAGGAAGTGACATTGGGGCACCTGGGTGACTCAGTGAGTTGAGTGCTCAACTTTGGCTCATGTCATGATCTCATGGTTTGTGGGTTCGAGCTCCATGTTGGGCTCTGTGCTGACAGCACAGAGCCTGCATCATATCCTCTGTTTCCCTCTCTCTCTGTCCCTCTCCAGTTTGCATGCACTCTTTCAAAAAAAAACAAAAAAAAAAAAAAAAAAGAAAGAAAGAAAGAGTGATCCACAGAAGGAAGCTTTGGGGATCTGTAGAGGTGAACCCTCAAGTCTTTGGCTGAATACTGATTTTCTCAGGTGTGAGAGGAATCTACATGAATCTGGGTAAGGAAGTAGCAGAAAGCAGTAAGGCAAAACCATTCCGAGTTTACACAAGGTTGTGAATAATTCATATTCCCACAAACCAGAATGAAAAGATCTGTATTTCATATGTGGGCAATGGATAGTATTCTAGAAAGTTATCACCTTGCTTGAGGCAAGAGGCAGGGTGGATGTTGGAAAACTTTGCCATAGATGGAAGGTGCCCTGGATCTATACTAACAAAGCTTAAAAGCAAGATTTAGGAAGATCAGACTGAATCCAAGTCACAAGACTGCATGCCTGAAACAAGTCCAACAATATTGAAAAGAAAGATCAAAATTTGGCATTTAACATCTAATGTTTATTTATTTATTTTGAGAGACAGTGGCGGGGGAGCAGCACAGAGAGAGGGACAGAGAGAATCCTAAGCAGGTTCTGTGCTGTCAGCCCAGAGCCTAACGCAGGGCTCAGCCTGACGCAGATCTCACGACTGTGAGATCATGACCTCAGCCGAAATCAAGAGCTGGATGCTTAACCGACTGAGGCACCCAGGCACCTCATGGCATTTAACATCTAAACTTCAAAATGTACAGTATCCAACAGAAAATTAGTAAGAGCTTTATAGAGCAAGAAATTATGAACCTTAACTAGGAGTGTTATGGGCTGAATTATGTCCCCTCAAAATTCGTATGTTGAAAAACCAAACCCCCAATACCTCAGAATATAGCTGTATTTGGAGATAAAACATTTAAAGATGTTATTAAGTTAAAATAAAGCTGTCAGAGTGTATCCTATTCCAGTCTTCAAGAATGTTTATAAGAAGAGAAAATGTGGACACATGAAGAGACATGAGAGGAAACACATGCACAAAGCAAAAGACCATGTGAAGAGACAATAAGAGGGTAGTCACCTGTAAGCAGAGGAGGGAGGTCTCAGAGGAAATCAACCCTGTGCCACCATCTTGATCTTAGATGTCCTGCTTCGAGAAATTTGAGAAAATAAATTTCTGTTGTTTAATCCACTCAAGTCTGAGGGATTTTATTATGGAAGCAAGCCCTATCAAACTAACACAGGAGAAAGATCAGTCAATAGAAACAGGCCCAGAACAACAAATTTGATGGAATTATCTATCAGACATCATTGAAACAGTGATGAGAAACACCCTTCATTATATTCAAAGGTAAACATCAACATGATGGGAAGAGAAACAGAAGATTTTTTAAAGGCCTAAATGGAAATTCTAGTGATTAAATGCAATATTTAAAATGATAAATATACTGATGGGTTAACAGAAAAATAGGCACTGCAGAAGAAAAGATAATTAAACTTAAAGACCTAGCACTACAATCTATCCCAATGGACCACACCAAGAACAAAAATTGGGGAAAAAAAAAAAAAAAATGAATAGAGGCTCAGTGACCTGTGGTACAATATCAACTAGTCTAACATGGATGGAATTGTAGCCCCAACATGAGACAAGGCAGAGGGAAAGAGAAAAAAACACTTAAGAAATAGTTGCCCTTTTTCCAAATTTGAAGAAAACAAATACATAGATCCAAGGATCTAATGAACCCCAAAGAGAACATACACAAAGAAAACCACAGTAAGTCAATTTAAAGTAAAACCGAAAATGACAGTTTTCAAAGAGAAAAACAAAAACAGCCAGAGGGGTAAAAGGACACTTTACAAATAATAAACAGCAGATGAAAGATGGAGTTCTTGTCCACAACTATGCATGTCAGAAGGCAATGAAGTGACCTCTTCAAAGTGCTGAAAGACAAGCGAAAATGTCAACTGTACTATATCAAATTCTAAACAAAAATAATTTTCAAAACTGAGGAAGGAATATGAACTTCTTAAACAAAAGGTGAGAGAAATCAGCACCAGCAAACCAGCACTATAAAGTATATTAAAGGAAATTCTTCAGGACGGAGAGTGATATCAGAGGGAAATTTGAATCTACCTAGAGGAATGAAGAGCACCAAGATGGTAAATTGGTGAATAAACACAATGTGTATTTTACTTAATTTTTAATCTCTTTAAAATATAATTGATAGTTAAAACAAAAGTAATAACTATGCATTATGGAGTTTACAGTATATGAAGAAGAAAGATGAATAAGAACAATAACCAAAACGGGGCGCCTGGGTAGCTCAGTTGGTTGAGCATCTGACTCTTGATTTTGGCTCAGGTCATGATCTCAGGGTCATTAGATCTCAGTGCATTAGACTCTGCACTGAGAGTGGAGCCTGCTTAAAATTCTTTCTCTCTCACGGCACCTGGGTGACTCAGTTGTTAAGCGTCCAACTTTGGCTCAGGTCATGATCTCACGGTTTATGAGTTTGAGCCCTGCGTTGGGCTGTCAGTGCAGAGCCCACTTCAGATCCTCTGTCCCCTTCTCTCTCTGCCCCTCCCCTAACTCATGCTTTCTCTCTCAAAAATAAATAAGTATTTTTTAAAAATTAATTAAATAAAATAAAAAAAAAAGATTCTTTCTCTCCCTCTGCCTCTCTCCTCACCCCTTCCTGCTCATGCTCTCTCTCTTTCTCCAAAGAAAGAAAAGAAAGAAAGAAAAAGAAAGAGAAAGAAAGAAAGAAAGAAAGAAAGAAAGAAAGAAAGAAAGAAAGAAAAAGAAAGAAAGAAAGAAACCACAGCCAAAAAGATGCAGGGGAATGGTAGTACATAAAGCAGTATATTATTATTCAGGGTGCACTGTGAAGCTAATGATATACACTCTAAACCTAGAATGTTTCTCTGATTTCAGCCTCATCAAAAGTACCTGAGGGACTTCCCAGACCACAAACCACCTGGTCCATGGACTACCCTAGAGCTTCTGATACAGGAGACTTTGGATAGGGTTCAAGAATCTAACAAGTTCCAGGGGATGTTGGTCCAAGAAATGAAGTTTGGGAACCAATACCTCAAATTAAACACTAAAAGCAAACAGAGAAGTATGGCTAATATGCCAATATAGGAGTAACAAATGGAATCATAAATGTACTCAATCCAAAAGAAAGTAGATGAAGAAAGAAAAAGAACAAATGTGATAAATAGAAAACAACAGTAAACTGCTAGATATTTGCATGCAAAAGAATGAAACCAGACCCCTATCTTACACCACTCACAAAATTAAGTCGGAGAGAATTAAAGACTTAGAGGTAAGATCTGAAATCATCAAATTCCTAGAAGAAAACAGGGAAAAATCTCCTTGATAATAGTCTTGGCATTGATTTCATGGATAGGACACCAGCAGTACAAGCAATAAATACAAAAATAAATATGTGGTATTACATTGAATTAAAAAGCTTCTACACAACACAAGAAATGCTCAACAAAATGAAAAGATAGCATATGGGATGGGAGAAAATATTTGTAAAAATACATATCGAATAAGGGGTTAATATCCAAAATATATAAGAAATACATACAACACGATAGCAAAAAAAGAAA